GAAGTCTTTGTAAACGAGGTATCCCCAGGGGGGACGAGTATTCAAGATTAATTTTATTTACATGAAAAATGTAATTAATGCATGATAGAATTATTTCAATGATACCATTTATTTTTTCCTTCTTCCATTTGCCCCTGGTATGCCCCAATTATTCTAATCCTCATTCAAAAAACTTGATCTGCAACACTCCATCTTGTCTTTCTTCTTGCAGAAATGGTTCTCGTATATGCAGACATCTTGTACTTTATACCTCCCGATTTTATTGAAAATGGGAAATGAATGGTGGTTCTGTGTATAGGAAGGGAAATGTGTGACTTTAAAGTCGTAATTCTGAAAAATGTAATGTCATAAAAAGATTATTTATGTCTGGGAAGGTAAAAGTACCAGTTTTTGCGCCTTAGGGGATAAGGACATGACTTTATTGTTTCAAAGGGAAGTGATATCAAAGTTTGGTCTTTTGGGAGTAAATGTGTGTTATTTCGGGTAAGGAACTCATCAATGGTTATTTCGGCTTTGGATGGGGTATGGAAGGTCTAATCTTGCCCATTGTCAAAGATCTAAAATTAATGAAGTAGTAAAAGAACCTTTAATTCATTCGATATTCAAAGAACTACAAGATTAAAACTTTATTATTGCTCATAACCTTAGAAAACGACGTAAGTTCAATTATCAAAAATGTATATTAAGGAAAGAACAAAAACACGTTCAAACAGGACAAGGCCAGGGCAACAAGGTTTCATGATGGGTGGAAGAATTTCCTGGTAACTGGCCCCAGAATGTCTCATTACGAGTTAAAGGTTAATACCCTTGGGTCAAACAAAATCTGGGCCTTGCTTCTCCATGCCCCACGGATCTCAATGATATGCCTCAAACTTCAGAAAGCTCTAACATCACGTCTTTTAGCTCTCAATTATTTTCTAAATACGAAGGGGTGACTTCAATTTGCCTAAAAAGATACAACGAGTTACTCCCAGGATCCGTGATAATGAACGTTGATATGCAATATATATCATGCAATGTACGATGTATGGATGCTAATGTAAATATGTGAAGATGCACATGCAAATGAAAATATACAAAAATGGGAATGCAAAAATACAAAATGTAAATGCAACAAAGGAATTGACCCCAAAGTAATTGTCATAAAACAACTTCCAAAGAACACACAATGTCTTAATACAATGAGGCAGATGGAAACTACAAATCACGTCATATTGCTCGACTTCTTCAATTTTGATCGAGAATGCAAGGAAACAATCTTCTTTTATCCTTGGCTTGATGGAAAATTCCAACGCTTCGACTTCTTTTCCAGAAATGCATTTGTTGAGCGACCATATGCGACTGACATCATCCACTGTCTCATGTTGGCTGTCGTTGTTGCCTGATGACTTCAATCATATTTTTTACTTGTATCAACATCATCGTAGCACCCTTGAAAAGCTTATTTTACTGTATCATTTGAGCTTCATGTATTCCAGCTTGATGTACCTCTTCAGTTGTTTCCTGGAACACCCTTCTGGACCATTTATGCATTTTTACATTTCTATTATACCTCTTCGAGTGACATTGTCGTATTGAAAACCTTCTAATGTGACTATTAACTCGGGAGTCAATACCCTCTATGTTATGATATATATGAAACATGTGTTAATTCCAAGGTAATTATCCTAGAAAAACTTTCAAAGAACACACAACGTCTCCATATGTCAAAGTAGATAAAAATATTTACCCCTTCGTGTGACGTTGTTATTTTAAAAGCCTTCTAACTTTGATAAATAGCTCGGGTATTAACAACATGTTTATGCACAAATAAAGAAACAATACAAGGAAAAGATGTTAGTAAAAATAATAATCAAAGAGAGAAAATGTATGTTAGTGAAATATGAAAAGATTAAATTCAACTAGTAAATAAACCATAAAATACAATGAATAAAACACAGAAGGGGAAATAAAACCCTAACCGCATAATTTCTAGTTCACATGCAATTATAAAAATAAATAAATAAAAATAAAAAACAAAGGTTAGAGTTCATTTCTCCTTTGCGTACACTAATTTGGGTACCTATGGACGAGTTTCGACATTGTCTTAAATCGGGTGGGTTTCTACGGTTTATTATATGTAGGGTTTCAGTTCTAAGAGTAAAAGTACTCGAATTGTCCTTGTCGGTGCCCCCTTGGGCGAGCCAGACCCTCAATCCTCACCCATTATAGGCTTAAGCAGATCGAGTTCAATTCGAGGGGGCACATTTTCCTATGCCTGACATGGAGAATAAATTCTCAAGAAGACATAGGACATATGAACCCCGGAAGCTAATTGCTAGGTCTGACACGGAGAATAAATTCTCACGAAGACGTCGCTTTCACTCCCACTTAAAAGGAAGAGCTCGGGTATAGAGCTTATGTTATGCAATGCAAGTGTCGTGTGTGAGGAGAAATTATCAAACCTTTGACAAACAACCACACAAAAATGAACTAAAGCGAATTTGAGACTTTAACATCTGAAAATCAATCAAATACAAATATTAATATACAATGATAAAAAAAATAATAAAAGAATTGAAAGAAATAAAAATAATCGTAAATTAAATAAAATCGAATTCTCAATTTACAACTATAGAGACAATATATAATCGATTTAGGGCTTGATCCACAACGTCCCCAGCAGAGTCGCCAAGCTGTCGACACTGTTTTCCGCCCGGGCGGGGAAAAACTTAGTACGACTTGGGGTTTTCTTTGAAAAGGTTTTGAAATGTTTTAGAGTCGCCATCGACCTTTTGGGTTAGGTAGGTCGAATACCTAAAAAATTTCTTTTAAAAGAGTTTTTAAGAAAAACGTCATTTTAAAAGATACACTGATCCACGTGTAACCAGAAATTCATTTTTAAGCAATGATAAGGGTTCGGGGTCAATTACGTGTGGGGAAGGATAAGCACCCCCACAACGCCCATAATTGGTACCCCATCGATTATAAATTGTCTCTAATAGTGAAAATCTAAGAATTTAAATATAAATTTAAGTTACGATCCTATTATTCCAGATTCAACCATACAATTTTTATTTACTGAAAAATTCTAAGGAGAAATAGAAAATATTCTAATATTTCCAATTGAAGAGAAAATAATCCCTAAAATATTGTAGGACGAATATTTCTCTTTCTAACTGAAATAAAAAGAATATAATAATTTCTCCCAAGAACTCAATATTAAAATAATGTGATTCAACCAAATTGAATAAAACTAGAATAGGCATATTCAAAAGTTTTAGGTTTTTCTAAATAGAATATTTATTTATTTATTTTAAAATATCAGAATAGGACATCTAGTTACTTTAAGATCGTCCCTTCTTAATATTTTAAAATAAATAAATACTACCCTTAATCCAATTATGAAATCGATTAAGTTATGCTTATGAAGCTTTCATACATATTCCAAATATCTAGATCTATATGCACAAAAAAATTTTCATGGAAAAAATTATAAATTAAAAATACTAATTAGGAACAAATAAATGAAAATTAAAGCAAAGATAAAAATTAAATGCTATTCAATGATGGAAATAAAATTGGACTAAATTAACAAGTGCATACTTTAAAACATAAATATTACGTTAAATAAGCAAACAAAATATAATTATTAAAATGAACATTACAAAATTTAAAGTTCTAAATAATAAAGATTAAATAATAAATACAAAAATGAACATTACAAATGTAAATAAAGAAATTAAAGTACTTAAGTTAAAAAAACATAAAATTGTACATTCACCTAAATTATAAATAATAAAATATAAAAATATGCATCACTTAAAATACACACTACAAATTTTACATGCCAAATATAATGTATAATACATTACACCACAACTCGGGACTAAAATAGAATATTACAAATTATATGCCAAATGAGAAATAAAAAAAAGTGACTAAAATAAATAAATTACAAATATCACATCCAAATCATAATATAATAAAAACAAAATCCAAGCAGTGACTAAAATGAATAAATATAAAAAAACAGTGACTAAATTCAAAAGTTAATAAAATTAATATGCATATTCAAAATAAATAACAAAATAAATTACCATAGTGCGATAGAAGCTAAACTATGAGGAGCTTAAGGATGCTTTTACCCTGATAATGACCAAAATGCAAGATATGCTGGAATAAGGAGGACCTGGAATGCGATTTGACCCTGAAACAAATGAACAAAATAGAAAACCCCTAGAAATAGGGGACCTGATACGTGGTTTAACCATTTTCCATACAAACATAATATTTTCCTCATGTTTCACGTGAAACTGCCAAGAACTTACAAAGCCTCCCAAAACTCACCTCGGTCGTCGCTTACCGGCCCTCACACGTCGACCACCGAGCCGGTGACCGACATACACCCACCGCCGACCTCGATCGAGGTCATAGGAGGACCGACCACCCTTGAATGACCGAAAAAAAAACTCCCCGTTGTCCTCCTCTCTCACTCTTTCTCCTCTCTATTCGGCGGCCGAGAGGGCTCAAAAACGAGCCCCAACGACGACCACCACCTTGGCCACTCAACGAAAAAGACCCGAACTCCGACCAACGTCCGAACCGGCCGAAGCAAACCACCCAAGGGTCTAAGTGACCCAAACTATTCTCGTTTCTCATTTCTTTCGATCAAGGCCCGACCAAGGACCCTCCCTACGCTTACCTACGGCCACCAACAGCCGGAACTCCCTCGTCGGCCGCCGCTCAACGGTAGCCACTCTCCCTGCAACTCATGAACCCCTGAAACCGAAGCAAAAACCAAGTGAGAAAGCCAAAAAAGAAAGGAAAAGGAAAAGAAATATTGGAGAGAAAAAAGAGTCAAAGCAAACTGTCTTTCATTCCCTCTTTTTCGGGGAAATGCTGTTTGATTTTACAAGGGTGGTTGGGGTATTAATAACCTCAACCACTACATTTTAATATTGTTTTTTTACACATAATAAAATAATATTGAAAAAATGGTGTTTACACATGTGTTTCAGGGAGGATCATGGACATCATGAACATGAATCTTATTATGGAGATCGTGATACGGAAACTCTGGTTAAGGTACACAACTATGCAAGTTTTGAAATGGCTATTTAACTTTACATATCAGTTATACATGACCTAATGCTAATGTCTTCTAGGCGATGGAAGATTTGGCTGCTTCTGTCCCACAGGAGAATCAAAGGCTGGCTTTAGAGGATAAATCCAATCTAACTAAACTACCAGCACCATTGACTGGAGGATGCAGAATTGAAGGATACGTGCGTGTAAATAAGGTAATTCGTATGATACTAAGACTGTCCTTCAGATTTATTTACTTGTAATTATTTTGTTCAATCATTTATGTTTATCATTGAGATAAATGAGTTGTATAAATGTAGTTATATCCTATGTTATTCAGACTCTGGAGTGAGTGTTGGATATGGTATGTGTTTGACATGGGTATCGTTAGATTTTTCTAACCTTTTCCATGTTTTCGGAGGATCTTTGGAGATTATCCCCATATCCTTTCATCAAAATTAAGAGTTGGAGCAACATAGGTTATAAGATACCTTTGATCTTAAAGTTTTCCAATTCAGAACTGTTATTCTTCATATACCTTAACGTATTAAGCGACTTGCACTTTGCAGGTTCCTGGCAACCTTATCATCTCTGCTCGTTCACGCATCCATTCTTTTGATTCTTCTAAAATGAACATGTCTCATGTCATAAGCCATCTTTCGTTTGGTAAAACAATTTCGCCTTGGTTACTGAGTGACGCAAAGCGATTAATGCCTCATCTTGGTAGAAGCCATGACAGGTTGAATGGTCAGTCATTTATTAATCATCGGGAATTAGATGAAAATTTTATTGTAAGTTCTTTTATACGATCCTTTCTGTTCAATTGCTCATTTTACCTCTTACGTGCATTTTTTTGTCCATGGACATTTATACTCATCTTTTCAAAGCAATCGAGTAAGATATGTGTCGATCTTAGTCGAGAGTAAAGAATATTCCGTTCTAAGAAATGATTGTAACTAATTCCTGATAATTTGTGATGCGAGTACCGTCTATTCTAAGTACCTTGTATTTTTCAGGTGGAGCATTACCTTCAAATAGTCAAAACAGAGGTGGTCACAAGAAAATCATCTCGGCAGCATAAGTTGATACAGGAATACGAGTACACCGCACACAGTAGTCTATCACAGAGCATTTACATACCTGTTGTGAAATTTCATTTCAAGTTATCTCCAATGCAGGTAATTCTCTGCTTAATTATTTTTCTTAAGTTTTTACCTTACATTCTCCTTGTTTTTCATTAGGTCAATGGATTTTCGTTTTTCTTTTTTCGTTTTGTACTCAGGTTTTGATAACGGAAGACCCAAAATCGTTTTCTCACTTCCTCACTAATGTGTGCGCTATAATAGGAGGTGTTTTCACGGTTAGTATCTTACTGCCTTATCTTTGTTTTTTTCCTTCCAAAATCAGGCATTTATAAAACCGTATAATTGTTGTTGTTTCAACTGCTGCAGGTAGCTGGGATTTTGGATTCAATATTCCACAATACAATTAGGCTGATGAAAAAGGTAGAAATAGGCAAAAACTTTTGATAGAGAAAACAAGGAAATGTTATTTCCTCTAATTTTACATATAAAAACGAAAGCCAAGAAATTTATTTCTCAATCCATCTAAAATCCATTTATTTATGTGTTTACAAACAAGCACCAAGCTTTATACCACTTATTCCTTTAGGGTTCTAACAATCAATTATCAAGAAAATAAACACCAGCCAAGGAAAATCAAACAAATTCAAGAGAAAAAAATAATAACAAAGGAAGCATTCCAATTCATGATTGGAATTCTCCCTCTTACAACCCTAAAACAAGAGTTGAAGCCACAAACAAAGCTCCCATAGTGGAACCAGTAACACTCATCAACGCCAAAGATGTTGCATCATTTTTTGTTGGATTAGATTCTTCACCCAGTGCCAGTGTCGGCTTATTCTCGGCATTCCCAACTGGAGGAGACTCGCTGGAAGCTGGCGGAGATGGCAGCTCGGTTGAACCCAATGGAGGAGGAGAACGGTTTCTCTGATCAGCCATGACAACCACAACTAACTTCTCGTTCTTTACACAGTTGTCTTTGTTTCCGCTGATGAAATAGTAAGGACCTGAATGACCCAATGAGAAAACAGTGTGGCCATCGGTATATTTGGTAGTTGGTGATTCTGTATTGCAGTTTTCGTAGGCCTCCCTCGTGACATTAAGCACGGAATCATCGTTTGATGAGTAGCTAAACACTGAAATATCATCATACACATCTATAACGTCAAAAACAAAATTATATATACACATTTATATCGACGCACTAGTAACACTAATAAAAATGAATTTTTGACTCGATTAATTTTGATTGAGTATTGCAGAGTTTCACTATGGGAATAAACTCCCAACTCGGTTTACTCTATTCACAATGTCCTGACCTTCCTATATTAATCATGTATATGTGGTAGGTACTGCTATCTTTGGAGATGAATCCAAGTAATATCTTAAACTTACCAAGTGAATCTCCAATCTGAAATCTTTTCTTTTCAGCCCATTGATTGTAGTTTTCAGCGTTGGAGAAATGGTGAAGACCCCAATTCACTTGGAATTCTCTTGATAACCCTTTTGAATCATCATCTGCATGAAACAAAAGAGCTCCAATCCTAAAAACACTTTGCTTTGATATCTGAAAATGGAGTCGGCCATTGAAAACCAAGACCAGGGTTTTCTTTAACCACAATAGCTGAAAACTTTGAATTGCAACAATTGGTGCCAGGACCAGGGTTTTTGTAGGCAACTAGCATGGAGAAGCCTAGGATAAATTGAACTAGGCACCCTCGATTTATGACTCACTTTTTATATTATTCTTCAAATTTCAAAATATTTTAATTGAATCCTACAAGTATTTGTATCATATTAATCAAGTCATTTCGTTCAAGGATAGAATGGGAAGGGGGCTGAGGGCATTCGTCCCCTTGAAAAATTTATATTATCATATATTTTAGATATCGTCTTTAAATTTTCTATTGATAATCTATTTTTACACCCGTAGAATTTTATAAGTTTTCTCCCCTCTAAAATTTTAGAAATTCACCCGTCATAACATAAAATCACACATTTGTCCATGCTTATGTTAACCTAATTGTGAGATTGGACGTTAAAAGCTAGCTCAAATATAAATGGATTATATTTAAAATACATGGAATAGATTATAATACAAGCTTACATATCACATAGATATCTCCTAAATTTTAATGACACTATCTATTTCCTTAGTATGTCCAATCCAATCTGTCTATGCAATATATATACACGGTTTTCTTATTTTAAATTTGCTCCACTCATATCTGAACCGACATAGTAACTTGATTGATACGATATAGATACTTTGGTGTTTTAATTAGATTCTTTTTATGTTTGGGGGGACCATTCTGCAATATATGCTATGCTTTGATGATGTCTAGTAAAACTAACACAGCTCTAAAAACGGTGGCATACAAGCTTTCGTTTCTTTCCTCTTCTTTTTGCTTTTGGATTTCTTGGTTTATGGTGCAAAGTATAAATCTTCAACTTCTTAAAGTTTATTTGAATTATTTTTGTATTTAATTTATGCTTTGCTTGATCATAAACAAGAATATTCATGTCTTTCCTTTGGGTTAAAGTTAGGAATGTAAATGTGATGAGATAGATAGTGAGTTATTTGAGTCTCAATAAATACTCGACTCGAGTTCTTAACGAGCCGAAACGAGTTACTTGAAACTCGACTTGAAAAACTCACGAACCACTTGAAAATACAATAAAATATTAAAATTTTATATTTAAAAAAATAAATTATTAATAATATTAACATTTATGAGTTGATTTTTTTCAAAAAAATAAAATAAAATTTTCATATATTTAAGGTTCGAGTTCGAGTTTGACTTTTAATTGAAATAAAGTTAAGATTTTTTTTTTCATTTTGAGCTTTTACGAGCTTCAATTAATGGTTTCGAATTTAAGTCGAGCTTAAAAATTTTAGGCTCACTAGTTTTAAGTCGAATCGAACTCTATTTTAGAGTTTTTAAATCCAATCGATCTCAGTAATACTCAAGCTCTACTCGACTCGTTAACTGCCCTAGTTAAAGTTACGCCATTGAAATTCTGAATACATTTATTTTACATTCACATATAAAAAAATGCCATTGCGAAGATACTTATCGCTATTGTAATTATTCACTGTAAATATTAACAATGAATAATCGACAAGACAAAAGTCAAAAACAAAATCTAACAGTATATGATTTTGTATGGGACTATTAACACTTTAATCGGATAATAATTTTTAAATATTAATTAATACAATTCTTTAAATAATTTAATATTATTTGTATTGAAAAATAGAATCGATTGTCTTATAATCTTCGTTAGTAAAACTAAATGAGTTACGATGATTACATACAATTCACGTCTTTTAATTTGAGTGAACAGTGGCAGCCTTTGTTAGATGGTCATAAGTTGGTATGAAAGTTCTCTCTTTTTAGAAGAAGAAAAATGGATGTGGGATGTTGGATATCAATCTTTTCTTTTGATCTTGATCGAAAAATTTTATAGTGACTTTTAAGATTAATATAAGATATAAGTCCATAATAATTATCTACATGCTAAAATGATAAATATGTTTATTTGATGTGATAGTCTGTTGATTGATTCTAACAAATTATACGAGACCTGCTAGAGATCATATCAAAGAATTTTTTGTTTCCTAAATGCTATAATACTTTGGGTGCGCCGTTTTTGGAGATGTTCTTTCGGTGTCACCACAATCTTTCATTGCGAGAAATTTTATTTTAAAGGTCTTGACGTGACGTGCATAGTAGATGAGATTGAAGGTTATTTGAGACACTCTTTTAACTTATATTTACCTTTTTAGTACCTGTTAGGTATGGCTCATAAATATACCAGTAAAAAGGACAGGAGATGGAGCAAAGTGAACATCAACTGTCCTTACAAAGAAAGTCTCGTTGTGGGGTTAAAATTATGTGGGTTGGGGGTGCGGGGGCGTAGCCCCGCGGTACGGTACAGGGTTAATTTTGTAATTATGTACCAGGGTTTTCTATTATAAATAGAGATGTAACCTAGACCTAAAATATCATTGAATAAAATTCTAGCGCCGCCTAGGCACCGAGGATGTAAGCACATTGCCGAACCTCGTAAAATTCTCGTGTTCTTTCGTTTTCTTTACCCGTTTTCGTCAACAATTGGTATCAGATGTCAGGAGCAAAATTCGAAGTCGCGAAATTCGATGGTCAGGGTAACTTTGGATTATGGCAAACGAGGGTGAAGGATCTATTGGCGTAGCAAGGGATCTTGAAGGCTTTGCGACCTACAAAGCCGGCATCGATGGATGAGGAAGATTGGGAAGAATTGCAGCAGCGAGCGGCAGGAACCATACGATTATGCTTGGCGGACGAGGTCATGTATCACGTCATGCATATATCGTCTCCAGACGAAATTTGGAGGAAGTTGGAAAGTCAATTTATGTCCAAATCCTTAACGACAAAACTGTATCTGAAGCAGCGGCTGTATGGGCTGAAGATGCAGGACGATCACGATTTGGCGCAACACGTGAATGTCTTCAATCAAATCGTTTCTGATCTGGCTCGGCTTGATGTGAAAATTGAGGATGAAGACAGAGCGATGATTCTGTTGTGTTCGTTGCCTTCCTCTTACGAACACATGGTGACTACTCTTACATATGGGAAAGAGACTATCAACGTTGAGGAGATTACTGCAGCCTTGTTGGCTCACAACCAGCGGAAGCAGAATGCAGGGGAAAGCTCTCAAGCCGATAGCTTATATGTCAAGGGTAATCGAGATCGTGGACGGAAGCCAGAGAAGGCAGGGTCCGGGAAGCGGAATTCCAGGGATAAGAAGACGATTCACTGTTACAAGTGCAAGGAGGCGGGACATATGAAGCGAGACTGTTCGAAGTTGAAAAAGCAGACTGATGAGAAGCGTGATGGCTCATCCAAGTCTGTGAACGTGGTCGAGGATGATACTTCTGATTGCAGTGAGGGTGATATGCTTTCTATTTCAACGACACAATTGACGGATGCTTGGATTCTTGATTCTGGATGTTCTTATCACATCACGCCAAATAGGGAATGGTTTTCGACATACAGGCCGGTTAATTCTGGTTCGGTTTATTTGGGTGATGATCGATGCTGCAATATTGTTGGTATTGGTGATGTCAGAATTAAGATGCACGATGGCTCCGTTCGGACGTTGAGTGGTGTTCGACATATCCCAGACTTGAAGAAGAATTTGATTTCCTTGGGCACTTTGCACAAGAATGGTTTTATCCCTAAGGCTGACGAGGATAGGGAAACCATTCGGATTGTTAAAGGAGCATTGACTGTGATGAAAGGCAAGATGACTGCAGGGAATATCTACAGATTGTTAGGGAGTACCTTTGCAGGTGGAGTTCACTCTGTTGAGTCCTGTGATGATACGACAAAATTGTGGCATATGCGCCTTGCTCATCTTAGTGAACGTGGTATGGCAGAATTACACAAGAGAAACTTGTTTCATGGTGTCAAAAACTGTAAGCT